AAGATCAATCTACCGATCCGATTCGCAATATCGCTGTATGAAGATCCAAAAATGGAGGGGTGGACCCGTAAGCAGAGACACTTACGCGAAATCCACGGGAATTTAAGAATTTTCTTCCAACGATACGATCAACAAAGCTAATAACGCGAATCCCAATACTTATTAAGCTTTCTACAGGATGGTTTGTTGAGAAAGGCGCGCCAATCTCACTGAAAACTGTTGGTGTAGAATTCACACCACCACAATCGAATCGGTAGGATAATGAAAATGATAGTGTTTATTCCTTCGTAGACTCCGGTTTTCATACCACTCCATCGTCCACTGCCAGGTCAAATGATACCCTGATTTTCCCTCCCAACCCAGTTTTTATTAATGTGAAGAAAATAAATGAAATTGAATAAAATAATTATATCAGAAATCAATGAAATAATGAAAATACATTTAAGTGAATAGTTGATATTCTTAATGAAAATAATACCTATTTAACAAATAATAATATGCAGCTCTATGTTTCCTCAGCTCACAAAGTCAGGTGGATGTAACATTGACATTTCAAAGTTATATTAGGAAAATACATATCTTCAGCACGAATGATACTTGATATTCTCTTCTTAAATACTGAAAAAAATAGTGATTAAGAAGTAACAGGACTAACCAAAAAAATGGAAATCGAATCTCATCTAAATGATGTCATGCATGACGATAAATAACCTGTATAATAAATATATGCATATAATGTTATGCATTATTGTTGCTCCCTCTGCTTGATCAGCTTAATTTTAATTTAGATGATTAATGCAATAGTTCAGACCACGATGACGTCACTCATCAGATTTGACAGATACTGTCGCCTTTGTGTACGAAATAGACTCGCATTTTTTTTTTTTTTTTTTGGAAATCAGTGTTGAGTGGATAGCAGAACCAAGTGCAGGATTATTTTCAACTCAAATTACAGATTCTAAAGTGGTCAATATCTGATTAATACGACGATTCAGCATGCCTGTGAACTGTTGCGTGTGGAAGTTCAAGTCTTCCAGAAGCACTCTTGGAGTAAATTTCTTTCGGTTTCTTACGCCAGGACAAACACTTAATGTTTTGAAAAACGAACGGATTCTGAAAAGGAAAAGATCTCTGGGCTACAAGGACAGCTTTTCGCCGTATGGAAAACGTATATGCAGTTTACACTTTGATTTTTTGATTTTTTGATTTCTCAGGAAAGCCTGCACGTATTACCGAGTCAAGCAATCCGGATTGGATACCAACAAAAAAAAACCCTCATCTGGATTCATCGGAAGAATGCGGTAAGATGTTCCATTTCTTAATTATAAGCATGTAAGCAATGAGTTTTTACATTCAGATCATTCTGACCTTGATTCTGACTCAAGATCAACGGCATCATGCAGCTCAAATATGCCAAAATAACCTATAACCATCACGACAGATTCGTCTAGCTGTTCAAAAACGAACCCAACAAAGCGAAATTCCGAAGATCACCCAGATTCGACGGACAAATCCTGCAAGAGTGAAGCTTCTTCCAGCAGCTCTGATCAAGAAGAACCAAACTCATCTGACGAATTCGTTAAAACTGAAGCCTCGAAAGCCTCTTCCAGTAGTTCTGAAGCAGTAGAGTCATCGGACGAATCCACGAAAAGTATATTCGAAAAATCAACTCGAAAATCCTCAACATGCAGTTCTGATGAATCATGTGGTGATCCCGAAGGCGAAGATTCGTCAATAGAAGCAAGTTTTGACCGTAACTCTACAGAGCAGAAGTTCCATAACGCTTCCACCAACACGAACTATTGTGACTCCAATGAGGATTGTGAGATGGTAAAAAACCGAACCGAATTTGTCAGAACCTGTTTGTCATGTTTCAACTAGGCAGGTATTTGTTATGACGCATACAAAACTCAGGTTAAATTCTCAATTTATATCTCTCGCCTATGATTACAATGTAAGTCCTACCACGATTTTGAAGTATTTTCACATGACGTTGCAGGTAATGGATACTTGTTTGCGCCATGCGCTTAAAGTACCATCTAAGGATGTCCTCTTAAAATACTCCGGCTCAATTCAAAGGAAAATTCGGTAATTCAAGAGTTTTCGTGGTAGACTGCTTTGAAGTTCGTTCCCAGCGTCCAAGTGACCTTAAAGCAGCGGTTTCACATTACAGTAATTATAAAAAATCAAAAACTACGAAATTCATGATTGCCGTACATCAGATGTATCAGATAGTGCGCCAGGAAGTTATCGATATGCAAAAGTGGAGCTACGTTTGAAGTTGAATGGATGTCCAGTTTTTCGTCGTCCACGGCAGATTTCCCATGGCTTAAAGGCAAGGTCGATGCCCAGCTAGAATCCCTAGAAAAAAAGGAACCATTACGCGGATCACTACAAGCGATTGGGGAACTCCGTTGGTGCCCATACTCAAGGCTGATGGAACAGTGCGTATTTGTGGTGATTATAAGGTCACTCTCAATCGATTCCTCGAGGACTGCAATCATCTAATTCCAAGGATAGATGAGTTGCTATCCCAGTTGCAAGGTGGGTATAAATTTTAGGGTAGAGATGAACCAGCCTAAGGCTGAAAGTCTCGTTAATAAAGAAAAAAAAAATAAATTTTTAGTAAATTGATCTACGAGATACATATAATCAACTAGAGCTAACTGATGAGTCTAAGCATATATGTACTTGGAGAACCCACCCGGGGTATCTACCTGGTAAACAGGAAAATTTCTGTGGACCGAAGACTGTCGAGCAGCTTGGAAAAAGATAGTCGATGTTATTAAAGGAGATATAGCTAGCGCACTTCGATCAACAGTTACCTTCTATAATCTAAGCTGACGCTTCGGATGTCGGAGTGAGAGCTGTGTTACTGCAGAGGCAACCGGATGGGTATGAACGACCTTGTTACTTCGTTTCCCGTGCGCTAACCGATACTGAAAAAGGCTACAGCGTGATAGGGGAATTTACGTATTCTCGTCAATCTAAGCAGCGTCTGCACTTCTACTAGCATTTTCTCAGCGTCACGCACATATATGATGTGTCTGTTTGTTTACATTCATCTGCTGCTTGCTTCTCTATCCATTCCAATCGACAGAATTTTTCAAAACGTTTTGAAAGCGTTTTTACAACGCTCCAAACTTCTCAGGTGAGTGTGACTATTGTCGGCAGTCTCTTTTTCTTCGGCAACCTTCCCATTAGAACTGCGTGTTAACCAGCTGTTCTATTATCGGCAACTCGAAATCAACCCCTTTTTGTAGTGCGTATGCTTTATTTGAAGAAAAATGTAGCATTACTGGATTGCTCGATCGTTCAAATATAATCAGATTGAAGCTGAAAGGCTAAACAATCGTTTGGACACATTCAGGGAAGTGCGTTGATGGGAAAACATAGTGAAATTAACGTTTAAATTTTGGTTGCCGAAAACAGTCAATGGGTGCCGAAGCCAACATTTACCCTAGATAAGGATGTAGTATAAGCACTGAAGAAATGTTACCCATACGTTTATGGTACAAAAGTCACTATAAGGACAGATCATCGGCCCCTGTTAGGAATACTGGGTGAAAATAAGGAAATACCAGTTAAAAGTTAAAAGAGGTTAAAAGATTTCGTGATCTGGTCTATAGTAATAATATATAGGGGAAATGACGGCTTCGGCATGACAGACTATTTTCGGCAACGGCAAATTGAAACGCTAATTTCACTGGATTTTCCTACGAAAACACTTCGCTGAATGCATTCAGCTTTCATCTTCAATTTGATTATATTTTTACCATTGAGAAAACCCAGTCGGCGCCGCCTGGATGTTCTGAGGCATAACATCTCTGATCACGCCTTCCTTCGGATGGGAAGTAAAGCCGTTGGTCCCCGGTTCATGAGTTGATGGGTCGATAGGTAGGGTCCAGGTGTAGGAGCTGCCTTCCTGGCACGTCGGTAGCATTGGTGCTCAGCACGGAAAACAAAATCGACGGAAAAAACAAACCAAAGGAAAAAAAAAAAAAAACCATTGAGAAAAAGCAATCTAGCAGGGTTTTCTTGAAATGAAACACACGCACTACAAAATGCTGCTGATTTCGAGTTGCCGATGAAACTGTTGCCCACAATACTCGCTCTCACTAGAGAAGATTGAGCGATAAGCGTTTCAAAACAGTTTTTGACCATTCTTTCGACTGAAATTGTTAGAGCAGCTGGCAGCAAAATATTGTAAACATACCAATACTTCATATGTGCATAGAGAAAATGGATGTAATGTCGGTCTTAATGCCCCTAATTTGAGCCCACACTTAAATTCAGCAATCGACTAAATTTTCAAAAGTGACCAAAAATATCCATTAGTACCGTCCCAATGACGCGTTCATCTGGATAAAATTGATAAATAGCAGATTTTTAGCGATGGGTCCAATCTTTGATCCATATGCCAACATTAGAGCCATTTACCCTATGTAATTCCTAAGAGATGAACTAGCCATATAGCTAAAAATCTTTATAATAAAGAAAAGAAACCTATGTAATTCCAGCCTTTTCATGATTTTATATTTCAACTGGGCCAGATTTACCCGAAACTGACCTGGCAACACTGATTGTGGGAGAAAATGGATGGATGGTAGTTTATTTTCCTTTTGGGTCGTCGTCCAGCTCCTCGCGTCTCCGCAGACCTGACCGCCCGTTCCGTTGATGTTCCGTTCCGCAGAAAACCCCACTCGGTGATTTGCTTTCTGGTTATTTTAATTTATGCTTCTTCCTTTGGTACGCTCTCCCCGTTTCTCGCTCTCAGTTTATTCAAGGGTGAGAGGGGTTTTGCAGAGCATTAAAAAGAGGGTTGAAGAGGTGGAGGTTGATGTTGTTGGTGCGGCTGTAGGAATAACAATGAAAGTCTGGACGGATGGGTGGTGAGAGCATAGATGAGAGCAACTGAGTAGCGAGAGCGGGAGAGAGATTCACGGTTGGTCGAGGAGCACTACAGAGCCGTACGCGAACACTTCGCTGTTTACCACCGTTGAGTTTAGTTGAGTTTCGAACGTTCAACAATACGGACGGGTCTTGTTTATCGGTAGCCCAACAGCACTCGGTTCAGCGACTCGCGGGTTGATATGGCGGATTAAGAGGGAGGTAAATGAAGCAGTGGCTAGAATTTGTTATCGCAAACTATTGTAGAACGTACGTACGAAGTTTTAAGTGAAAGTAAACTACTGAAATGGTATTGTAAATACGCGAAGCGTACAGTGACAGTGCGAGCCGTTTCAAAAAAGAATTGAGGCGAAAATCTCATCGAGTGAGTACACGGCAGAGGGAGGAGAAAAAAAATCAAAGAATCGTAGCACAGAAGTGCTCTAGTTTGTGTTGGCATTGTTATGTGATTGATTTGAAAGTGAAGCGACATTCTCCCTTCACTGGAGGCAAGCTAAGCCCGGTTTTTGAAGAGTACAGTTGTTTGACGAGGTGTTCGAATATCTCGAATGAACACAGTGTTGTAATGTCAACAAAGTTTTGACGAAACAGTACGGGGTTTTGCTTGACGGCACCAGCAGTGTCAGAATTGAAGTGAATGGTATTTGTCACATTGATGTGCGTTCGTATTGGCAACCGTAGTACGCAAGCCCCTGAAGTGTAGTGTTTTCGTGGGCTGAGAGGCAGAATTACGCGCGTGTTGTCGTCAGACGGAGAAACGGAGCAAGGGGAAAAAACAAAATTACAACCTTGTCCCGAATATTTCGATTTTGCTCTTCCCATTCGCATCTTGTTGTCGGTTTCACGGGTTAGGTGCGTCGAAAATAAATATACAAGCAATGAGTTCTGTGCGTAGTCTGTCGACGGATCCTCCGATTCGATAATATGCTAAACACATGTGATACCAATCGAAGCGGCTGTAGAAGAACCAAAGTCAGTGGCGGTAGCAGCAACAGCAGCCGCAACAACAAAAGGATTACGTTGTCGGTCCAATAAGTGGCAGGCAGCTACGGCATCGGTGGCAATCGTCGAGATTGCAAGTGGTAGATGTGAGATTCGGTTTTTAACGACCTGATATCGAGAACAAGCTGCGGCGACGACAACTGCTGTGCGGTGTGTGACAGCCGCCGTCTAGTGATAGCGAAAACCGAGAACCCCTTTGCTCAGTGAGCTGCATTAAAAACAACAGCGACAACAACAGTTGTGTGTACACAGTCATACACAGATATACGTGTGCTCTGCAATATCGCTTTGCGTACCAACGGGGTGACAAGTTGAGTGTAATTTTTTGTTATACATTGAAGAAAAAAGAAGTACGACGGGGAGGAGAATACAACGAATACAGGCAGCGAAAGCCGTAGACAGCAGTAGCATCCGACCAGAACGCACTGGACACTGGATGGGACTATTCGAGGTAATCGTCGGATTGAGGTTTATGGCGAATTGGATTAAATCGATTTATTATTGGCATGGTTTAACGGGGGAAAGAGGAGAGGTACCATAAAATGTGTGGCTACCCTTCATCAGGGGTTCAGCGGCTACTGGAATTTGGCGATCACCATCGCACTCGTCGTCGTCGTAATGAGCAGGCGATAGCGGCTCACGGTGGGTTTAGTCGTTTATGGCCTCCACACCTATGTATTCCCAATCGCCACTGGAACAACTGTAGCTATCTAAAATAATGGTAGTCGATTTTTGTTTTTGCTTTTGAACAATCGAACTGTTCTGTTATCGCAAATGTTTGTGCTTGATTCGAAGATTTCCTTGCGGAAGCGATAAGATTATGTTTTCGATATCGCTACTGCGTGATGGCAGATTGTTTTCGATGGGAACATTACCGGTGGAATGATTTGCAGGTTCACTCAGTAACAATGTCTTGATTTGATGTTATGCATATTTTAAATGAGGTGTGTTGATTTACAATAGCCTACAAATTTCCATCATTTTACAGATTGAGGACAATATTTACATTGATTAACGAGCTTGTTTGAAACACCCGTGGTAAATCATGTGAATGAGGCTTCTTTCTCAATTGATTAAACGTAATTAATCAAAACTACTGGATCTAGACCAGAATTTTTCAATATATGGGTCACGTAACGACGTGGGACATGGGCTGTCCTTAGATAGGTTGCAGGAATTCAGATAATTTGGTCACACGTCTGCGAAGCTCTATAAGAAATTGATTTGATTTTTTTTTAATATTGAGGTAGTTATAGTTGAGGTATAGTAGGTGATTTTAATTTAAAGTTTAATTAATAGCATTGATGCTAAAAATTTAAATAAATTTTCCAATTGATAGACTTCGATATAAAATAGGTACATTTCCATTACAAAAATGTGTGTTATATCGAATTGAACGTTATATCCAGAGGTGGGCACCGTTAACCAAAAAGTTTGCGTTGTTAAACGTTAACACCCGAGCAGGTGAAAATAAATAATAAAAACCTAATTCTGATAGTTCAGATTCTAAAATTTGGTATAGATCAGCAAGACATCAGAGGTGAAATGTCGAAGAATAATATCAAAACATTGGCAGGCCAAATACTTTCTGTGGTATTGTGGTATCGTTTTGGTATTGCATCTACTAAATTTGGTATCGGAATGATATTGTGAGATCATTGGTTTGGTATTATACTTCGGTGGACAAAATCGGACCCTTACTGTATTTCAATAAGCTTATTCTAGAAATTATAATAATCATACATTGTTAACAAACAACCAAGGCTGTCACACTCTTGACTCGTCGGCCTTGGTAAGGGCCGTTTTTGTCACCTTCGTTCTAAGCTGCTGTGCAGTACAGATAAACTGCATTGCTGAAGAATTTACAGTCTTAAATCACTAAACATTCGCTGATTAACCAAAATCTACGCGTTGAAGCTTGATGGCGTTGTAATCATAGATATTCTAATAACTGCGAGAAACATGGCTTTGATACAAATCCAGTTCTCGTAGTTTCCCATTACGATGGCACGGGAATTCATAACTTAATTGTTGCTTCGACTCACTTGCTATAAAAAATGTTTTTCGGAATAATGGAATCATTAGATGACTCAGAGCGAGCGCTCACGAAGCATAAAATCGCTTATTGTGACGCACTGAAAGCAATATTGACAGATTTGATGTATCAAACACATTTTTTCAGCAAGTGAGTGGAAGCAACACTGCGTAACTCACTTGATTGTTGGCATCGGGTTGTTAGCATTTCAACCAACATAAGAGCCTTAATCGAAATGCACTGCTTTAAATTTAACATGCGTTTCATAACGTAAGCAAACTTCCGCAAGGTCAGAGCCAGGTTTCGAAATAGCAGGTGGAATAGTTTGATTGAACTCGCAGAAGTTTGGTATCCGATATCATGGAATATTTTAAACTTCTGAATTCTCTGGAAATTGATGTATACTTGTGTTTATTTAGAATCAAGTTAGAATTTATGCATGGTTATAGTATTCCCAAATATTTTATTCCAAAATAATCTAAGAATTCTCGCCAAAAGAGTATTGGATTTGTTTCACAACTCTATTTGAAGTGATTATAAATATCAGATAAACTCGCATCAATTTATCTTCATAGGTTAACTTTTGATTCCCTAGTATACCTTTCAAATTTCCCTTGAATTTATGTAATTCATCTTGGGTTTCTTGTAAAAGATATTATGGAATTCTCTTCAGATAATTTGTGAAATTACTTCGAATTCCTCTTAGATCTACTTAAGGATTATTCATGTAACTCCCAGCCCTAACTCTCCTACAAATTCCTTGGATTCTTCGTAAAATCGATCCAGAGGTCGGTTGAGTTGGAATTCTAGAGCATTTTTTTTTTCTCATTTGTCTGTCCTGATCGGACCCTATCACTTAGGTGTCTCCTTCCTTTAAGGTGATTCGTTGTGACATCCTTATTCTCGGAACCACCTCTAAACTTTAAGTACACATATATCAGCTTCTAAGACACGTGCAACATTCAAATTGATACTCCACGTTTGCTGCACATACATGAAATGGAAATTGCAGGTGAAATGCGGCACCGGTTTCCGAGATTTGTGTAATTGAAAATTCAAAGTAGAAGTGCATGTACAGCCTACGTGGCGGTCATTTGGGGACTCTACTAGGAATCACCTTAAAGAGAGAATTTGCTCTTTCTAGTAGGAGAAACGCTCCTATATTGGTAAAGCTTCTATTGGGCCATGTTTTCAATTAACTCCATGATCGAAGAACTCGTTCAGCTGCATACATTTAGAATGGTGCCAAAAATTTCTGGAGAATCGATTTCGCCTCTTAGCACTTTCGCTGCAAATACTATCTGGCTAATCACCTATGTTCAAAGGCTTCAAGACCCAGGAGCTGACAACGATCCTCGTATGATGGAAGGTTTATAGGATCATGCTAGGGAAGGTGGCAGATTCGACGGTAACCGTGAAGATACGTTTTCAATCTTTCCTTGATGTCTCGGGTTTTCCCAGCTTGCTTGAAAGAGTCTTTCGTGTTCCCAATCCACAATAAAGGCTGCAAAAGGACTGTTTCAAACTCGAAAAATTGGTTCAAAGTTTTGCACACTGTATCTCGACGGATCAGCATGGCTTCATGCCTAAGCGTTCCACGACGACCAATTAAGTTACGTTCATTTCGTTCATCATTCGTGAAGTAGAACGTGGCCATCAAGTAGATGCCTCTACACAGACCTCTCCGCAGCATTTGACAAAATGAACCATGACGCGTTGGCTAAATACGACAGGATAGGTGTTCACGATGGCCTGCTTAATTGGCTCTACTTCTACCTGACCGGTCGAAACATGTCTGTCAAGATTGGTTACTATGTTTCTTCATCCTTTCCCGTGACATCCGGCGTTCCCCAAAGGTAGCCATCTTGGGCCATTTCTGTTTCTTCTGTACATGAAGGACGTCAATACCATCCTGAAATGCCTTAAACTATCGTATGTGGACGACCTGAAACTCTACTTCGTGATAAAAGAACCTAGTGATGCCATTTTCTTGCAGCAACAATTGGAAGTCTTTGCTGAGTGGTGTCGTATTAATCGCATGTCAATGAATGTCTCAAAATGCTCTGTAATTTCCTTTGGCCGCAAGCGTTTGCTTCTTCACTTAGACTACACCCTGACGGGCATATCTTTGAAACGTGAATCGACTATCAAGGATCTGGGAATACTGATCGACTCCAAGCTCAGCTACAAGGATCATGTTGCATACGTAGTATCCAAAGCTTCCTCACAACTTGGGTTTATATTCCGCTTCGCCACAAAATTCAAAGATGTATACTGCCTAAAAGCATTATACTGTTCGTTGGTGCGACCTATTTTGGAATATTCGACGGTCATGTGGTCTCCATACTACCAAAATGAGTCAATGCGAATTGAAGCTATTCAACGGAATTTCATCCGATATACTTTAAGACATTTTCGCTGGAATGACCCTACGAATCTGCCTAGCTACGAAAGCCGTTGTATGCTTATCAACTTAGAGCTTTTGGATGCGAGACGTAACGTAGCAATTGCGAGCTTCGTCGGTGATCTTCGTCAGGGAAACATTGACTGTTCAACACTGCTGAGTAGTATCGACTTCAATACCCGCCGCCGTGATCTACGATCGTATGCTTTCCTGAATAACCGCTTCTCACGAACCAACTACGGATGGAATGAGCCCATGCGGAGGATGTTTCGCATCTTTAACAGATGCTACAATGTATTTGATATGAATGTTTCCTGTATTAGAAATAAGTGAAATTTCAAGAGCATTTTATGTTAATTTGTTTAGAATAAGTATACTGTCGTTAAGGTGAATATTTTACCTGTTGACCTGTTAACATAAATAAATAATTAAATAAATAAGATATTTAAAAAAAAATAACACATCTCTGCACCCAACCGGGACATGGAAGATTCTATTACAAATGTGCATGAAGCGCATGTAGAGTTTGCAATGTTTGACCGCATGAACAGATTCGGTCATGTAGTCGTCATAAGGTTTTTTTTAAATAATTTTGTAATGTTTATCTTAGATTTACTTTCGAGCAATCATTGTTTTCAATTGCGCCTAGAAAATCATCTCATGAAGGTTTCATACAAAAATATGTATTCTGGCCATATATACGTGTACGCTGCAATCCATTGCAAGAACAGCCATTACATTTGTTGTATGAAACATTTGCAAAGGACGTAATACATACGACCCTGCATTGAAGGGAGTGTCACTAACTGCTTCACCATCTTGCATTAAAGATGCTCATGAATCGTTGAAAGCATTCTTGAAGTGCTCAGTTTCCCGGCAGTACTAGCATTTCTGTCGCCAAGATTAATTTTAACCGATGAGAAGAATACCTTTGGATTCCACCAAACGTCTTGAATATATTTTTTAGAGAAAATAGTTTTCAATTCGACGTTCAGTACATGCTCAAATAAAT